AGGCTGGACACTGCCACAGCATATGAAGTCTGATCTCTTGTATTATTGATCGGCAGTTCTTTGTGTGTTTTTAGCTCCGGGCGACACAGCGTTGAACTAAAGCATCTCGGCCTCCTCTCTCATTCTTTACCATTGGGGAGAGAGTTCATGCAGGTTTCATGAGTGGAGGAATGGCCAGCACAAAAGCTCAGACTCTGTTATTGGATTCTCGGGTTGCAGGCTCCTTTGATATGCGATACACAAGGAGGACATTGCCACCGCCTCAAGCATTCGCCACTCGGGACCATAAGGGGAAGAGGACAGGGAGTTTTGCAGTTCTCTGGATACAAGTTTGGTGCTAGAGGATTAAAGCGCTCAGATTAAACCGTTTTCTTATTTTTGTTATAATGTTTCCTCATCGGAAACAGACCTGGAGTTGTGTTTTGTTTCATTAACATGTTTAACACACAAATCCTGCATATTTAGGCCGAGTTTTTCTCTCAAACTGAAAACACAATGTTCCACCTTGTGATGTCATGTGGTAATACAGGAAGTGCTCCACTGTGTTTTTAAACTGCGTGCACTATGGAAGATAATTTGTTTGATCAGATTTTGAGTTTTAAATGCCGCCGAATTTCTCACTTTGAATTTTTAACTCAGAAAAAACATGTTTTCATTATTTTTCTTGTGAATTTGAGTTGCTGAAATTTTAAGTGTACATTTTCAAAGTGTTTAAAATTCAATATAAAATAAATATTCAGCACAAATATGTTCAAATTCAACAGTCAAAATTCAGAGTGTAAAATTCGCAGTGGATCCAAGATGCAAAGAAACCTAAGAAATCAATACGAAGTGATTCGCTCTAACATACCCTGCGTTCGATTATCCTTCCGAGTCGGTTTTCTGAGGAAGTTGCCTAGCGACACGTAATAAATGCCCCTTTTCTTGGGACGGCGTAACCCACAACGCGGAAAAAGTCGACCGAGCAAGGATTCTGAGTCAGAATCCAAGATGCTACACCCACTGTGACGTGTAAATCAGAACTGTTTTCATTGTGTTTGGACACTTTGCTGATTTACTGACTATAAGAATAATTTCAGTCATTCGTATCACTGCAATACCTTATCACGTCCATATCACTGTCTGTGGGTTTGGTAGTCGGTGTTGTGCTGAGGCTCTCCAACTCCGACACGAAAAACATAATAATACGCTTCAAGCTCGGACGTGACATCAAATCCGAGGTCCAAGTAGGAATCGGAAGATAATCTAAGGCAGGGTTAGTAACAAGCAGTGAAGCAATCTGATTGGTCAGAATTATCCTCATCAAAACCTCATGTCTTTTATTTCTTAATTTAGGGCCTGTTTACACGAGAAGGCTTGCGGCTAAAAATGACAATATATTTTATCGGAAGTGCCTTTCGTTTAGGCGATGATGGCCTTTTTCGTGCTTAAAAACGCAAAAATCTGAAACCAAACTCCAGAGGGGAAAAGTTGAATACGCTCCACTGAAGCGTTTCTGTCTACACTGCCCAAGACGCAAAACTCTGGTCAGATCTGCTCATGTCCCGTACATGTTTACTTCACATACATCACCGCCTAGCCACCTGGCATGCATATCCAGTTGTATTCCACACACTTTTGCTTCATCATATGCACGCAGATTTCCTCCCGAAAACGCTTGTCTAAACGCGGAAGTGAAGATGCAACGCTACTTTTGCGTCTTCTGCTCGGACCGTCATCATATAAACGTAGCCTTACACTGTTGAATTTGAGGGCTTGAAAATGTATGTGGTGAAAGTTTTGTTTTGAATTTAACATAATCAAATGTACACTTAACATAATGAAAATGTACGCTTAAAATTTCAGCAACTAAAATTCAGAATAAAACATATTTTTTCTGAGTTAAAAATGAAAATGAGAAATTCAGAAGTATTTAAATGTCAAAATCAAATGAAACTAATTATGTTCCACAATACACCTTCACTAGATTATCAATTATACAGAATTACCAATCTCTACAGAACTAAAGGTAAAAGGAGCTGTTAAAGATGCATTGTGTAACTTTTTGGTTGGGTTGTTTCTATGGAGTTGTCATTGCTCTGCCTTGAATGTTCCACAGTATGACATTAATCAGTTTTACATTGCATTTATTTAACTATAGGTGGTTTTGTATCTCAAAAATATTTAGAAAAACTGGCATTCTGACTGTGAGTTTGTTTGCATTTTCACAGATCTGACCTGTAACTTGGTCTGGTTTGGTCTCTTTAAAGATAGAAAGGTTTAATACTAGACTGTGAAACATTCCAGACAAAGCAATAACATCTCAAGCAACAAGCATTTGATGGATTCTCCAACAGAAAAGTCACACAATGCACCTTTAACTTGAAAACTACCGCTTCATGACATCACAAGGTGGAAAAGAGCATTTTGAGCTTTGGAGATGTAGACAGACTAATAATAAACAGCTACTCAAACATGTATGAATGAAACAAAACGCAATTCTAGGTCTGTTTTTGATGAGGAAACAACATTATAACATGACGCAAAGTTCACAAGAGTCAGTTTTGTGTAATCTGGGACTTTTAAGACACGATGCTTTTAAGACATGGTGCTAGATGATAAAATATCCACTGTGACTGAATGAGCTCTTGTCCAGCGCGTTGCCAGTGCACCCTGCGATCTGAGTCTAATGAAGTGTGCGAGGGCTGAAAGACTAGCTGCTCCAGACATAGCTCAAGATGACAAGTGCTCCTTTTGCCTGATGAAAACGGCCAAACGCCAAAAATATACAGACAGGAAGTTGGAGTCAAGCTGATGGAAAGCTACATCCATACAGAGCAGAGGAGATATTTTTTTCTGCTGCCTGCAATATTACTAAGATTTTCCAGACAAATCGAAACGCCGGGAAGTTGAAAGATGCCTTTAGAATACAATTTCGTCTGGAATAAATATGCAGTAGATGTCGCAATCTGAAATTTGACTTTACTAGATGATCATTCTTCTTTTTAAGATTAAATACAGCTAATAATCTGCATGTGTAACCAACCATCTGTTTGCATTCTTGCCCCAAGCGTGCATAAATGCATAAATGAGTAAATGTTCACAGCAGGCTATAGGAGCTGCTATAGACACATAAGTGAAAAGTTTTATGACCTTGTACGACGTGTTTGGGCCAATACAATTAGGGATGTAACTATATCCAAATCTCTCCGAAATGATATTTTCACGATATGTGAAATACCCTACTTTGTCCCTATTAAAATGCCTTGACAATGCCTTGAACTAAGACTTAAAAGGGCTTAGAACAGTTATTTCACAGTCGTACAGTCATACACTGAAATGGAGCAAAGGATCATGGTCTATGTATTTTTCTGACTATAAGTAGCACTTTTTTCATGGTTTGGGTGGTCCTGTGACTTATCCTCTGGTGCGACTTTATATGTTAAAATTTTCACACTGACAGCCACGAGAGGGCGCTCTAGGCTCGTGTACTCCTGTACCACTGCCACTTCACACTCTACTGCGCATGTCTGCTGCAGAAGAAAGAGAAAGAGCCGTTGTCCTGTCTGGCATCATGTCAGTCGATCGCACCATTACTTCTGTATCACTGACCATTTACAATTTAAACAAATATAAAGACAACCAAAACCATCCTGTCAGAATTCATAAAGGCTGGAATAATTCTAACTGGAACTGATGCTGAGTCTGACAACAGCTCTGCAGAAGAGGACGCGGCGCTCCTTTTACCTCCGAGGGTTGTGGAGTTGCTCAGAAGTGACACCGAGAATGAAGATTTAGTGATTTGGAGTGAGATGGAGAGTTTGATAAACTTGCTCTGTTCTGTTGTTTATGCTGTAGTTATGCTGTAGAACTGTTCATATGTGATGTTAACAGTTTGTTGTTCTCTGTTCTATTGTTATTTCTGTAACTTGCCTTTCAAGATAAAATGTCGGTTCCTGGTCTCTGATTTTATGAAACAAATTTCCCCCAAAAAGTGCAATTTATAGTCCGATGCGACTTGTTGTTTTATTCTTCTTCATTACGCATTTTTTGGCTGGTAATACTTATACTCCGGAGCGACGTATAGTCCGAAAAATATACAGTAGTTCCTTATGTTTTTTTTAGATGTCGCTGCACCATAAGTATTAATTTAAGCAAAGAATTTGATATATTGTGAAGGTCCACGATAAATTATTGTGAAACCTTTGACAATACGATGTCACAATATTTCAGTTATTGTTACATCAATAACAGTGATGTAATAAGACTATTTACTAGTTATAATTGACCCAGAAAGTCTCAGAATATTTGACATTTTCTTCATACAAAGTTGTTCTGTGGTAACTTGAGAGATAAATAACAGCTACATAACACATTTAGGTCAGTGTTGTCTCATTTTATTGTTGTTTTATTTCTTATTTTTTTGTTTTAAAGGAAATAATTGCTCATCTCATTCTCTGCACTCCTGGTATTGGCAGATACTTAATGCTATAGTACTGGAATTGTTGTTGGAACTGAAACTGAAACCGGATTGGTCCACCCCTAATTATTACACGATGTACTGATTATTGAGTACTGAACTATACACAGACACTAAAATATGATATGAGCTGAGAGGTTTGATAGTTGGTGATGAGCAAAACAAACAAAAAAAAGGTCCAAAAGGTGCAATAAAATGACTAATAAACAAACAAAACTGAATAAAACTGAAAAGGCATATTAATTAGTCAAATAATTGTTAATGCTGTCCTAAATATGGATATCTTTGTAATATATTTTCTGTGTATGGCTTCCAACTTTGACACGTGCTCTTGTAGCTTCTTTTGAATCTTGGGCTCCCTTCACATTAGCATGGCCACAGCCTTAGCCGTGACTGACACACATTACAAAGGAAGGAATTTGAGTCCCACCTCGACCCCTCCGAGCTCTTCCGCTGGGTTTTTTTTAACTTTAGCACACTTCCACCAAAAATGTGAGGCCCACTTTTGGCTCCTAAATGAAAACTGTATTGAGCTTCTTACGTTTGCAGTCCTGGCCCATCCCCCTGTAGCCCTCTCGGCATTTGCACTTGTAGGACCCCGGGGTGTTGTAGCAGGTGGCGAAGCGGCTGCACTGGCTCTGGCCCAAAGAGCACTCATCCACGTCTGAAACATAACAGAAAAAGAGCAGTTAGCCTCTCGCAGTTATACTTAGACTTAAAGGTGCACTGCACAATATTTTTAGTGGAGGAGTCAGTCACCTGCTTGTCTCCATGGAGATGTTATTGCTTTGTCTAGAACAGGGGTGTCCAAACTTTTTTCATTAAGGGCCACATTTCTAAACACATTCGAAGCAGAGGGCCGATCGAGGGTCATAGACGGGAGCTCAGTACAGTGAATTATTGAAATACGTGCATGTTTATCACTTTAAAATGAGCCATCAGTCTTCATTCATGCTAAAATCCTCAAAACCACACACCAAATCTTCAATATTAGTTTTATCAAAGTAGATTTTCAGAAAACTTGCAGTAAAAAGTAAATTTCTTATTGATGTAAGATAATTTGGGCCAAGTCACCTGGAAGCCTGAGGGCCAAGAAAAATTTGTCCGGGGGGCCGCATTTGGCCCACGGGCCGTAGTTTGGACATGCCTGGTCTAAAATGCTCCACAGTATAAAGTAAGGTTACATTTCCACACCATCAAAAGCCTCCAACCCCATCAAAAAAACGACTGCGCGCCTCGCAATCCAGAGCACCCTATAGACGAATCTACCCGGGTGTCCCAGCACGACTTCAGTAAAATACAAAGCCGCACCACCCGCGAAAAACACACGCAGCCAAAACTCATCACTCCACGCGGACGAGGAACGGAACGGAGGAACGAACCGAAAAAGCGAACGCAATGTGCCACTTCTAGACACAACTGAACAACTGAGTCACTGCGAACACGCCAAAAATCCAGCGGTCCCAGACAGCACCCTCCCTACACGCCACAACTGAACAAAGCCCAGAGTCACCGTGAACGCGCCAAACAAAGTCCCACTGACCCATTTAACTGTTGTGTTTCATATAAAGTCTGGTGCTTATTTGTGAAAAAAGTTCGAAAATAGATGATTTAATGACAGTGCGCCTTATAATCCAGAGCGCCTTATGGTGCGGAAAATATGGAATTCACCTTATCACCGTATTGGAAACTATTTGAGTCCAGACATGTCGTTTCTGTGTCTGCAAGCCTTCCCTATCCACACAGCTTTGAGCATATTTGTTGCAGAAACGAAACTTAAAACCACATGGCTAATTTGCATAAACTAAGTGCTAAAAAAACCAGCTCGCTCTTTATGCGCTGATGCGATTCAGCTTCTGTCAGAGTAAAGGACACGACTCAGTGGAATATATGTGTTCTTTCTGTAACAGAGGGGTGTTCTGCTAACCGTGTCTGAAGTTACTGCAACCGATTTCGAGACACACTAGTACGTATTCGAGTTGTTTTTGTTGTGGATGCAGTGTTCGTCCACAATAATCCGATGGAAAACAGCTCTAGAGACGGAACGGTCTGATGCCGCCAGCTCCCACGAATTCATCTGAATATGGATCTGATCTGGCCCGTGTGGATGTCTGAAAACGCTGATACGCTGATGTAGGAGCTCTAGTTGTGTCCTTATTGGACCACATCACTGTGACTTGTGCCTTCCTGATTCGCTGGGTTCATTACATTGGTCATGTGACGCTATTGCGGAAAAGTTTAAACAATCTCATGCATTCCACATACGCAGGAAGCTCTTTACTCGACCAACGCAACGGTTCTTAGCGGCTTTTTGAAACTGTAACTTCCTCGCAGGTAGCAAAAAGTTTGTTGCAATGGCAGACAAGAATCCACGACCTTTTAGCCTTAAAAGAGTCCAATTTTTTAGGTCGCTCAAAGAAAAAGAGGAGGAAAAAAGGAGCGAAGCCAAACTAAGGTGATTCTTGGAGATTCCTTCAAGCGATGGTGTGCACTGAAGCAGACGAAGGGTCTAAAGACTGACACATTGGTCGCTAAATTACTTCTGGACAGGTAACTTCAAAAGCAATTCTAAACGCGCACCGGCTGTAAACAAGCATGATTTCTAACGTAAGGAGGAGGTGGGAGGAGGCGTTTCTACTTAGGGAGCTGTGGAGGAGGAGGGGGGTGTCACACATGGGCAACATTTGTAAAAGGACAAACAGTCGGTGTATTTCTCTTTCCTTCGAAAATACTCTATACAACCTTTAAAGTCATACCATGGAACATCCTAGGCAAGCAATAACATCTCCATGCCGACAAGCTGGTAGTGGAATCTCCAACAGTAACAGTATAGTTGTGTAACTTTTCTACTTTTCAGCTTGTCTCCATGGTGATGTTATTATTTTGTGATGTTCCACAGCACAGCAATAAACAAATATAGCTTGTATTTATTGAATTAGGGATGATTTTATTTCTCAAAACTACCATAAAAACATGTATTATTACTCTGAGCGAGCCCTCTTCTTCACAGATCTGACCTGTAATTTGGCGAGGTGAAGCGGCTGCTTGTTTCCATGGAGATAGTCACATAAAGGTGAGTTATTGTACAGTTGTATGGAGTACGATGTGAATGTAGTCCTGTATCTGCTGTAGAGGCCTGAGAATGAGCTCGTCTGTCCCTCTATAGTCTTACCATGTGCTGTTAGCGGGTGCAAAACACTCCACAAGGACTCAGCGCTGTTATCAAAGGCTATTAGCTTCAGATCTATTCAGTGTAAAAAGAGGTGCTTATGTGGAGTGGACTGGGCTCTGATCAGGCCTGAAAAATATATTTAAAATCAATGGTCAAACATAAAAGTGCAAGGGCTTTGAACCAGCAGTAATATTATTCAGCTAATCTGCTCATAGATTTATAAAGTACGAGTTGTATAGGCTACAGAGAGTGCTTTGAATAACGATGGCAATAAGTATGTTTTAATTTGATTTTATAACTATATAAACAGGTATACCATTAGTACGCTTATACTGTCTGTGATGGCCAAACACAGTTGTTTCCACATGGTTGTCACGCTTCAAGAAGAGGTGTTCCTGTTGTGTCTTCAAAGCTCACATAGCTCCCGGACAGAGAGGAAGGGCACGTTTGTCCTGAGGGCTGTTACTCCTCCTCACACTGCCCTGATACTGGATCTGCTGACCCTGCCTGTTGAGCTGCACTGAGACTTTAGTTTGAGCTTTCTATTATTATTGCATTTCACTGCTCAGTGTGTTTGAATTTAGTCAGGCTGGCCCCACCTAGTGCACCCACTCAGTTTTATTTCTCTCCAGCAACTAGGTCAGGAATCGTAATACACTAAACAGTTTGTAAAAACCCCGGAAGTGCGAGTTTGGGCACCAGTCAATCAGCGAAGAGCCATATATTCAGTGTTGTCAACAATTCTCGAGATCGAGGATTTAAAGTTGGAATGAAGAGAATGTTTGGTGAATTTCATCAAGGGGAAAGACGTTATTGTCCTTCTTCCTACGGGATTTGGGAAAAGCTTAATATACCAGTTAGCCCCGTTAGCGGCGCATTACATATGTCATGACCAAATAGCAGAGATTGGTTAAGTGATAAAAAGTACCCACCTACCGTCGAGTGAAAGAAATCTAACACTGCGAGGTCAGACGGTTTCTACAAAGTGAAACCAGCTGATGAATCAGGCTAGATTAAATTGGTCCTCGGGGACAAATAAAGTGATTTATTAAATAATGTATTGGCATTATAAATCTGATGAATATTGTTTCATTAATAATGCCTTTTACAATATAGTGTAATACATGATGTACATAAAGTGCAAATGACAGGTTACATTTTCACTAAAACATACTGTAGTTAACATCATATATTCAGGAAAATAGGGAACATTTTGGATTGAGCTTTTCATGTTGAAGACATAGCCAGAGGGATTCTGTTTTAATGCTTCCTGTAGTTTTCTTCACAACTTTTCCCACAAACTGCTGCTTAACTGATGTAAAACTATAATAAATACCACACACTGTCCCTGTCTATCACTAAACCTGTCATATGCGTTTTAAATAGACAACTATCATTAATTTGTGCCTCATAGACTGTGTAAAGAATTGGACTAAGGAAGTGAGGTCACCCATAGTATTTGCCTCCAGTCAAATGAAGCTCATCGAGGTTTACAGTTATAGGGTGGATTTGGAGCAGAGTTCAATATTAGGGATAGGAATTTATTTATGGACAGAATCGCCAAATAAAAAGGAAAAAAAAGGATCATGTAGAGCGGGTTGATTAGAACATTTTAAGACCAAAATGAAGAGGCTCACTACAGCAGTTTTTCAATGTAAAGTCAATTGGAGTCAGAGTCAGTGGAGCCAGCTATATACTATTACTACTATATACTAGTGCAGTCTATGCTCAAAACCCTGTGAACTTTGGAGAGTCTGCAGTTGTTTCTTCATTATATCTAAAAAAAAGAACTTGGCTTTACTGTCAAATTGAATTATTTTTATTGTCAAAAGTTAATTTGAACATTTAAAGCCGTGGTGGACCTAACAAAACAACACTATTTTGTAAAACTTGTTCTTGCTAATTAGTTTTGGGTGAACTCTCATTGCTATGCTGTTTTATTCTGTTCTCATTTGAGATTTGAAAATACGTGTACTGTGTGAATGTGCCACCTAATGAATGCCCCAAGGGAGGAAACAACAAAGCACCAGCCTTCACTGGACCATTCTTTTCATTTTTACAATTATTTTTATTACCACACGTGCTTCTATATATGGTTAGAGACAGTACGTAATGAAGTAAAAGTAGAAAAGTACTCAGGTTTCGGTCATGGAAATCCTGGAAAAGTCATGGAAATTGAAAATGTCCTTTTACAGGCCTGGAAAAGTCATGGAATTTTGTAAATTCAATGAAAGTTTTGGAAAAGTCATGGGATTTTAGTATCTCTTTCACGCAACTACAGCGTTCTGTTAAGTTCTCATTAGGTTATTATTATTATTTCCGAACGTCTGCGCCTTTTGTTTAAAAGAGACGACAGAAAATGCACTGACAGTATTTTGAATGTTAAAAAACTATAACACCAAAACATAAGGTGAGTGGAAAGGGTTAACAATTCATATTTGTCACTAAAAGTATGATCAATTCTACACATGTAGGTGCTGTAAAGTCATGGAAAATTCACTTTAGGTCATGAAAAACTCATGGAAAAGTTTTGAAATTTTGTCAGTGAAAAAGAGTGGGAACCTGAGTACTGTACTACGTATACATTTAGGTATCTGTACACTGAATATTTTTTACTTTACTACATTTGAGAGCAGGTATCTGTACTTTTTACTTCTCTTCATTTTTGAACAGGACTGAAAAGTAAGATGATGTTTTTATTATAGTTTGAGACCTGCTAAAAAGACTTATTACAAATACAAACTAAGCACTAGAGTGTTTATATATATATATATATATATTATATATTATATATATATATATATATATTTTTTTTTTTTTTTTTTACAGCTCATAATTTATTTTAACAATATTGTAGATTTAGAGAGCTATGTACCTTTACTGAAGTAACAAAAACAGGTACTTCAAAAACTGTCATAACAACAAAAACTTAAAATATCCACCCTTTTGCTTTGCACTCTTGGCATTTCTTTACCGTGACAAGGCACAGTTGTGAAGTGAAAACCTTTTTAGGATACTTCATCACGAAGCTCACTGAGAGAAGGCCAAGGATTTACAGCATTGTCAACAGAGCAAATGGTTTGAGGATTTTAATTGAAAAAATGAAAAATAGTATGCTGATTATTATATTATTTTTATATGATTTTATATCTTTCACCACTAGTATGTCTCCTGTATGTGTACAAAATGTAGAAAGTATTAAACATAAAGAAAAAAGACACTGAGATGAGCTGCTGTGTCCACACGTTGACTTGTAGTGTTTCTGTTTATCGATGAGCGTGTAGGAGCAGTCTGTACCTATGCACTGGTATTTCCCGTTGACGTATTGGAGGTCGAAGCCGTCGTGACACTTGCAGATGTAGCTCCCGAACGTGTTGATGCACTTCCTGAAGCGTGGACACACCGCTGTACCCGCCGCGCACTCATCCACGTCTGTATGACAAAACAACAGCAGCAAATGAGGAACACACAACTGATTCTTGACCCTGCGGACTCTGTTAGCGTTCCATTGAGTAAGCAGAATTAAAAGTGTCCTATATCAATTAATTAAAATGTTGTTCTGTGTGTGTGTTTTGCTCAATTGATTTTATATTTTCTGATCTATGTGATGTTATTTCCTCATCATAAACATCTCAACGACCTCCTGTATCATGTGAATAAATATCATGAGCCAAAAATAAGGAGTCGTGCAAAGGCAAAAAGCAAAGGTCAATTTTGAGCTCAATATTTTTCGCATACAAATATTTCTACATTATAGCAACTAGTTTTGGAAATTTTGGGAGCCCTACCTGTTAAACTTTTGTCTGGACAAAAATAAACTTAGGAGTCATTTTTCTCAGTTTCACACTCTGGCAAGTTCAGGTGTTTTGCTTTTGTAAGGGAGAGAACATTTTGAAATTTGGAGATGAAGTTAAACTAATAATAAAGGATTACTCAGACATGCAGTATGTTATTAGGTTGTTGTTTTTTTTCAGACCAAGACTCTGAGAGAGTTTCGACTGCTCACTCGCAGTCTTCCTCAGGATGGTCACGTGGTGTTGCCGCTCAGCTGACTTATAAAGGTTTTGTCTGTCTTCTTAATGCTGGAGGCAGGACGACAGCGCCATCTGCAGTCCAACTTCCTCAGGACAGTATCCCAGGTGTGTGAGAGTAAAAAAGCCCCCTCGTCCCGGTTTATAGTCCTGTGGGCACGTTTCCGTATTTCGATTGCCTCTTTAATCCAGCGATGGTGTTTGTTTTCCTCTGCCCTAATAATGTTTGCGCCGTCCCAGTCCATCTGTGTTTCTAGCACCAAAACCTGCATAAATCAGCTGTCCGGACACGTCACAGCAACATCACATGACCACTCTGAGGAAGACCGCGAGTGAGCAGTCAAAATTGTCAGGTATGAAAACAAACTTGGTCTGAAAAAATAAGTAAGTAAGTAAGTCTTTATTTATATTGCGCTTTTCACAGACATTTTTGTCACAAAGATGCTTTACAGAGCATTACATTCAGCATTATTCATTCACTTTATACCTGGTGATAGTAAGTTACTGTTGTAGCCACAGCTGCCCTGGGGCAGACTGGCAGAAACGCGGCTGCCATGCCAATCGGCGCCATCGGTCCCTCCGACCACCACCATCACTCACGCACACACCACTTTCATACTAGGCAATGTGGGTGAAATGCCTTGCTTAATAACTTAAATAAAAGAACGTATTAACATAAGTCTGAGTAATCCTTTATTATTAGTTTATCTACATCTCCAAAGTTCAAAATGCTCTACTCCACCTTGTAATGTCTACCTTTTGTTCTGTAGAGATAAGCAATTCCAGGGAAATTATCCAAATGATTTTAGTGAAGGTGTATGTTTAAAAACACAGTGGAGCACTTCCTGTAACATAACGAACATAAATTATCTGAAGACCAAATGAACTGCATTGGACGATCATAACTCTGACATGTGTGAATGAAACAAAACACAACTCAAGGTATAGAAAGAACAAAAAAGTGGCTGTATGCTGCCGCTGTTCCAGTCAGTGGGAGCAGGTAGAGGACGCTCTTGGAAAAAGGATCAAAACTTAAAACACAACAGGACTCCAGGCACTCCAAAGAAGTAAAAATCGTAAAAATATACTTAAAAGGCCTTTATTTAAATGGCCAACATGTTTCGACCAGTTGGACCACGTTTCGACAACTCAAGGTATGTTGTTGACGAGGTAACAATATTCTAACATGACTAAAAACTTGCATGAATCATTACAGGACCTTGAACATTCACTGTAAACAGAGTGTTAGTGTATGATGCAGATTGGGTTTTGTTGTGTTAGGTTTCTGAAGGCGCCTTATAGTATATAGCTATAGAGCTGTACAATGAAAAACATTTGAAATTGAAGTGGACAGCCAACTCCAAATAGTGATTGTTACCACCAGCCATCCATCAAAATCATGTCAGCTGTGTGTCATCCTTAGATTCAATACCAGCAATTTCACAGCGAGTCAGAGGTGCTGTACCCTCCCACAAAGAAACACAAGAGTGATGGACAGGACGAGTCTTTGACAATAACACTTTCAAATTGGGTCTGAAATACTGTGTAGAGACCTGGGACAAGAATTATAAAGTTACACATACGGATATTATAAGACTTTTCTATGTTAGCAGCATGGACACAGAGATTAATTATTAGGTTTAATGCCATACTGTGAAACATTCCAGAAAATGTAATTGCATCTCCGTGAAGCAGAGTAGGTGCACTCACTGTTTAATGCAGGGTTTAATTAATTATGAATTATACATGATGAATACACATCACAGTTTTGACAGAGAATGATGCAAACAATCCAATAAATTATAAAATAGAATATAAATAAATAAAGAATAACATCAAGCTAGCTAAAGGAAGACCAACCCATAAAAATGAGTCTCAAGAAGTTATTTAAAAGATGATACTGATGGTGTGAGCCTTATCTCCTCAGGCAAGTCGTTCCAAAGCCGAGGCCCCCGGACTGAAAAGGCTCCATTAGCCTTCGTCCGGAGCCTGGACTTTGGAACAGTCACGAGGACCTGCCTGAGGATCTAAGGCTGCGGGAGGAGGGCTCATACTCATACTCATAATGGTTAAATGATCTGAAATGTTACTTGGTGCAAGACCTAAACAAGCTTTAAAAGTGATCAGTAAAATCTTAAAATCAATTCTAAAACACATGCTCCACAGTCCATGAAAGTCAATTAAACATACTGTATGTACCTTGCATTTATTCAATTTCAGTTGTTTTATAGCTCAAAAATACAGGCTTGCTTCTCCACAGAGCTGACCATTAACTTGTCTCCATTGTCAGTGTTGGGACGGTTACTTTTAAAATGTAATCCCCTACAGATTAGAGATTACACACCAAAAAATGTTGTTTGTAATGTAATCCATTAAATTACTCAAAGTGAGTAATGTAATCTGAATACTTTGGATTACTTGATATTGTCATGTTTTTTAAAACTGCATGAATGTACCAACCACATCCTGAAAATTCTTGTTTGTTCAGTCTTTACTTGACCATATTATAAATATTATTGATAGAGAAATGCTTTCTATATGAGATCACAATTATGTCCACCTACTGTTAGGAGTCATATTCTATTAGTTTAGTCCTAGTTTAGTCCTGGTTTTAGTCCTGGTTTTAGTCCTAGTTTAGTCCAGGTTTTAGTCCTGGTTTTAGTTCTGGTTTTAGTCCTGGTTTTAGTTCTAGTTTAGTCCTAGTTTAGTCCTGGTTTTAGTTCTGGTTTTAGTCCTAGTTTAGTCCGGGTTTAGTCCTAGTTTAGTGCTGGTTTAGACCTGGTTTAGTCCTAGTTTAGTCCTGGTTTTAGTCCTGGTTTAGTCCTGGTTTTAGTTATGGTTTTAGTCCTAGTTTAGTCTGGTTTTAGTCCTGGTTTTAGTCCTAGTTTAGTCCTGGTTTTAGTTCTGGTTTTAGTCCTGGTTTTAGTTCTAGTTTAGTCCTAGTTTAGTCCTGGTTTTAGTTCTGGTTTTAGTCCTAGTTTAGTCCGGGTTTAGTCCTAGTTTAGTGCTGGTTTAGACCTGGTTTAGTCCTAGTTTAGTCCTGGTTTTAGTCCTGGTTTAGTCCTGGTTTTAGTTATGGTTTTAGTCCTAGTTTAGTCTGGGTTTAGTCCTAGTTTAGTGCTGGTTTAGACCTGGTTTAGTCCTAGTTTAGTCCTGGTTTAGTCCTGGTTTTAGTCCTGGTTTAGTCCTGGTTTTAGTTATGGTTTTAGTCCTAGTTTAGTCTGGGTTTAGTCCTAGTTTAGTCCTGGTTTTAGTCCTGGTTTAGTCCTGGTTTTAGTTCTGGTTTTAGTCCTGGTTTAGTCCTGGTTTTAGTTCTGGTTTTAGTCCGGGTTTAGTCCTGGTTTTAGTTCTGGTTTTAGTCCTAGTTTAGTCCGAGTTTAGTCCTAGTTTAATCCTGGTTTAGACCTAGTTTAGTTCTGGTTTTAGTCCTGGTTTAGCCCAAAATGTGAAAACAGGAAAATACCGCCATGTAATCCATTTATTTCAACAAAGTAACTGTAATCCAATTACCACTCACAGAAACAGTATCTGTAACTGAATACAGTTACTCATAATTTGTACTCTGATTACTTAACTCTGGTACATGGTCCCCAACACTGTCCATTGTGATTACCAAATTTACTTCCATACTGTGGAATATTGAAGGCAAAACAGTAACACACCCATGGAGACAAGCAGGTTACAAAAAGGTTACACAGTGCACCTTTAAAGAGTAACTTACTGTGAAACATTACACAAAATGTAATTGCACCTCCACACTCACTGTCTAATGCAGGGTTTAATTAATTATGAGTGATATACAGACTTGGACGCTCCACACATCACAGTATTGTCCATTCAAGCCGGGCTATGCTTTTATTGTTGAGAATTATAACCTCTGACGACACAGGCCAGAGAGCAAGGGCTGAGCTGGCGGTTTCCTTGGCAAAGCAGTACAAATTTCCACCGGCAAAGTGAAGCAGTACGCCTTTAAAGAAGACATATTGTGCTTGTATCTGCTATAAAGCTATACCGTATGACACCTTCGAATCATTATGTTATAATTTGGACATTTTAAATCGCAATATTTTAGAATTTGTACCAAAATGACTATGCGACGCTGCCAAATCCTACAAGTATCACCATTTAGGAAAATATAATTGGAGGACTAAGTAAGTACAGAGCAGAGGACATATGCTGTGGTGGTGTAAATGGAGAAAATAAGTGATTAAAGACACTCAAACATGCACAAATACAAATTCAGGTGCGTAAATGGTGAAAAGAAACAACTATAACATGGATTAAAAGCTCTAAAAAGTCGATTTTGGATAATAGTTCTCTTAAAAGGTGCACTGTGTAATTTTTCATTTGTTTTTCAATATAAAACCAAAAATAAGAAAATGAAAAAACTGTTTTCTTCAT